TTGCTTGCTCAGATGGCTGGAGCATCTGAGGGGAAAAATAGGTAAGTTAAGAGGAATGTGTAGGAATTAGAGGTATTTATCTTCTTCCCCTGTCTTTCTTCAGTCGGTTGTGCCTGGCATTTAGTCCTAAGGATATTCCTTTATTCTGTTAAACATTGTGTCTGACCTATGTAATCCTATTTCTTACAAACACTTGTGATTGAGCATTTCTTGTGTCCATTGGTTCATGGGATAAAGGAAAGGGATAGCTCTGGGATTAATAGAAAAGAGAATGATCTTTCCCAGTGCAGCACTGGGACCCCAAGTTTTCACATGTTCATTCATATATTTTGTAATTATATTCCCAAGGAAAGATTTAATACTAACCTGGATCTTTCAGTCAGCACCATCAGGCCATGATGATGTGACCCCTAGTATTACATTTATAATAAGGGTTTTCCAAATAAAAGGGAAATGGCAAGGTCAGTGTTAGCCAAATCAAAAGTCAGTAATCTTAATGCTAGAAGATAATCAAATATAGGTAGGAGTGTGGAAGATAGGTAGAGGTTGATGGCCTTTTTAATTTCATTTAGCCCATTTGTTCATGCCCCGAATTGATTTTCATGCTAATCAGAGCATTGTAGGACAGGGAATACCCTCATGAGCCCAGTTTCCTGAATTACCATAGGGATTTTTGAGCAGATTCTCTAAAGGATGTTTTTTAGAGATACACACTCACAATCAGAGATTTAATATAAGTTTAAAAAGGAATTTTTTAACCCCAAGTTAGAATTGAATACCTGGACCTGGAACCAAGAACCTCAAGTTAGCATTGGAAAGTAGTCAAAAAATAAGGATCATTAGCTGACTTATAGCTCTACACTATGCACTAAACAAGGTTTTAGCTCTCCCTTGTCGGACATTCTAGCCATTGCAACCCAATAGATGAGTAAGAAACTACGGATATCCTGGAAAGGGTAGATAGCCAAAGGCCACCAAAAGGTAGCAGAGAGCAGTCTGGTAACCAGAAGACTAGTACAGCCACCTAGCAGAAACAACATGACAGAAAATGGGGATATGATGCCCAACTTGAACATAACAGAAAGTAGCACAATAGCATGACTAGACAATGTTGGCAGTTCTATAGCATTGAAGGTATGACTTGCCCTGACCATGAGGTTCCCTGGCACATACAGCTTTACCCATATTTCCTGATCATAAGCATGTTTAGTGTACATGTCCTCCCACATTGTGGGTCTGGCAATCTGTAGGATAATATACTTCCTAAGGAGGGGTGTGTGAAGGGAGAGCTGTTAATTTTACCTGCTGTACCATTCCCAAAATATATTTTGTTTTGAATCACCATGTTGTCTGGCTGGTATAAGAAAACACTACTGGGGGCTTATCAACTGTGGTTTGGATTGAGTGCTGACTCACAGAACATCTTGAACCTGGATACTATTCTGTGTGCCCACATGTGTAGGAGGGTCCCAGGTAGGAATCAGACTTTTAAGCTGAAAGTCAGCACAAATTATCACACTGGCTAGTTAGGCACAGATGACTTCATAACCTTCAAACCCAGGGCATAAAGCTAATTTAATGCAAATTTCTGGCCACTTTCCCAAGGAATGACAAAACAAATTAAAAGAGATGCTTTGCCTGAGGTTGAGAATCACGCAGGGTGCTTTTGGTTCACAAGAGCAGAAGGCAGATCTAGAGAGGCAGAGAGCCAGCAAGTGCCTTTGATGTTCCCTAGACGAGCAACTGAGCGGCCCAGAACACTGATGGCACAGGTTTAGGTAATTTGATTGTTCATCAAAGTTCTGCTCAGCGATAAATGTTTGTCATTATCATCAACAAGTATTTATTAAATGCTTGGTATGTGCTAGGTATTGTGCTATACACAGAGAATACAGAGAGAAAGGAAGATGAGAGAGAGAGAGAGAGAGAGAGAGAGAGAGAGAGAGAGGAGAGAGAGAGAGAGAGAGAGAGAGAGAGAGAGAGAGAGAGAGAGAGAGAGAGGGAGAGAGAGAGGGAGAGAGAGGGAGAGAGGGAGAGAGGAGAGAGAGGGAGAGAGAGGGGAGAGAGGGAGAGAGAGGGAGAGAGGGAGAGAGAGGAAGAGAGAGACGGAGAGAGAGAGAGAGAGAGAGAGAGAGAGAGAGAGAAGAGAGAGAGAGAGAGAGAGAGAGAGAGAGGAAGAGAGAGGGGGAGAGAGGGAGAGAGAGGGAGAGAGAGAGAGGGAGAGGGAGAGGGGGAGAGAGAGAGAGAGACGGAGAGAGAGAGAGAGAGAGAGAGAGAGAGAGAGAAAGAGGAAGAGAGAGGGGGAGAGAGGGAGAGAGAGGGAGAGAGAGAGAGGGAGAGGGAGAGGGGGAGAGAGAGAGAGAGAGAGAGAGAGAGAGAGAGAGAGAGAGAGAGAGAGAGAGAGAGAGAGAGAGAGAGAGACAGACACAGAGAGTTAGAGACAAAGAGAGAGACAGACAGAGATAGAGAGACAGAGATAGACAATGACAGAGAAACACAGAAACAGAGACACACAGAGGAAAAAACAGAGAGAGAAAGAGAGAGAGATAGAGACAGAGAGAGAGAGAGAGAGAGAGAGAGAGAGAGAGAGAGAGAGAGAGAGAGAGAGAGAGAGAGACAGAGAGAGACAGAGAGAGGCAGAGACAAAGAGTTAGTTCTAGGCATGGGAGCAACTAAGTGAAAGGCATGAAATGAAGAGATGTTCAAGGAATAGCAAAGGGTCTAGTGTTGCTGGATCTGTGGAGGAGAGTAAAGTGCAAGAAGATTGGAAATGTAGGAAGTGGCAGATTAGGAAGGGCTTTAAAAGCCAAGCAGGATTTTATATTTGATCCTGAAGATAACAGGAAACCATTGGAGTTTACTGAGTAACAGAAGGTCACATCTGCACCTTAGGAAGATCACTTTGGCAGCTAAGAGGAAGATAGACTGGTGTGGGGAGAGACTTGAGGCAGGGAGATGAACCAGAAGGTTGTTGCAATAGTCTAGGCATAAGGTGATGAGAATCTGTGCCAGAATCTGTACCAGAATGGCACTTGGTTGAGTGGAGAGTAGAAGATATATATAGGAGATGCAAAGGTAGAAATAGATATTGCTGACAGACCAGATATATTGGGTGAATTTGAGTAAGAGATTGAAGATGACGGCAAAGTTGTGAGCCTGGGTTACTGAAAGGTTGGTGATGCCTCTAACAATAATAGGAAAGTTGGGAGGAGGGGAGGATTTGGAGTAAAATATAGTAAATTCTGTTTTGGACATGTTCATTTTTCGATATTTGATATCTAATTTGAGATTCTAATCAGTATATCAGGTCCAAGTATAAATATAGGTATAGAGCTTAGGAAAAAGCCTAGGACTAGATAAATAGATCCAAGAATCATCTGCATAGAGATGATAATTGAATCCATGCAGCTGATTAGATCACTGAGAGAATGTATAAAGAGAAGAGGTCCCACAGTAGAGCCTATGGATCACCCATGGTTAGTAGATGTGACCTGGAAGAGCTAGCAAAAAGGACTAAGAAGTAGTATGCAGATAGAGAACTAGCAAAAAACATTCTGAAGCTTCCTCTTTCAAACACAATTACTTCAGCTAAATGAGGAGACTACAAAAGAAAACAAATGTCTGACTTTTAAAACTCTTCTGCAAAGATAAAACATACAAATCTTTGGATATGTTGAGAGCTTCATCTGGTTGTTGACAAAATACCTATATTTAGATTCATATAGTTAAGTTCCCTTTCTCTTGTGGTTTGGTGATATTGTAGGACAGTTCTTTAAAACAGGGGCAAAGGGACAAAGATAGCAGGAGAAATGAAAGGCAGACTGACTTATTGACTGACAATTAGAAAGGGTGCCTGAGCATCAATCCATTGGTGTTTGGTGGAATAAATGCTTCTCCACAAGGTTCAAAGGTATTTCTCTTGCTCAGGTATGTTTATTCCCCAACATCATGATTGTGGATTATCATGCAGTCCTAGAGAATTATTCTGGTTTCTTGGTTCTGCAGATTTCTAGACACCATACTTAAAATTATTCCAGTCAACGTTGTTAATACATTATAACCAAAACCCACTGTAATATCACAAAACCTCACAGTAATGCCATTTGGCTGACAACTCAAGCCACAAATCAGATGTCTGGCAATGATCTAAGCTAGCATTTGAGCCCCAGATGCTCAAACAGAAAGCAATTTGTTTACCATCCCATTTATAACTCTCTTCCCATGGAACTGACTGCTTCCCTTTCCTTTTGTCATTTCACCTAATACTCTACTTTCCCAGATCCAATTAATGACATTAAGGAAGGTATGTTTGTAATCCCTTCGTTCTCCCCAGAAGTAAGGGAAGAGAGCATCCTGTGTATAGAAAAAGGTTCAGATCTCTAGTTGAGACCTTAATGAAAAAGCGAAGGCAGTTGGCCAGTTTATGTTGTCATGGATTAGGCAGCATGAAATGGCCAATGTCCAGGGAATACAGTGTGACTGTACAACATATGCTTAATATCTCGTATTTGGAATCTACTGATTAAGACTAACTAGGGCTAAATTATAATGCTTATGGCAATCTTCTGAGGGTAGGAGCTGGGATTTTCTCTTCTATGAACACATGTCACTGTACCAGCTCAATGCTCCTTCTAATTGGGCCAACTAGGCCTGCCAAGGACCAATTACAAATGATTGTCCCTTCTCTTATACTTGCAATGTTGGGGTGGAACTATTCCCAAATGCAATCAGGAAATCCCATCTGGTAGTTTAAGGGATGACCTTAATTTCTTAAATTTTCACCTTTTTGGTAAAAAATAAATGGAAAAAGCCTAGTGACTTGGCAGCAGGGAAATTTCCCAATCTGCTTTGTGAGTCTATTTAAAATTGTCAGTACTGACTCCATTGTTCATAACATCGAAGAATGCTATGAGGGATCTTAGAAATCATTCCTTTAACTTCCTTATTTTATAGGTGAGGAAACTGAAATGCAGAGAGATTTAATGACTTACCTAAGGTCACCCTGCTACTCAATAGTCGCCTTAGTCTGCAATCCAACTAGTCTGAATTTTGGTCTGGCTGCTTGGTTTTTGTTTCAATTTTTCCCTATTTCACCACGGTGGCCTTCTTTCTTTGTCACGTTGCCATATTGTGTCACAGAAGAACAAAGCTTTGTATGACATCCAGAGTGGTGAACTGAACTCTAGACTTAAAGAAAGAGTACTTGAGTCAGAATCATGACTTAGATGCTAGCTATGTAATTATAGAGAAGTACCTCTCAGGACCTCATTTTCCTCATCTGTACAATAGGTACAATCATACTTGCATTCTTGTAGCATAGTTGTGAAAAAATACTTTGTAAATCTGATGGTGCTATATATTTTATCATCATCGTCATTTCTGTCATATTTCAACGTCTCTTTGATCACATTAATTTGATACTCCCTACAGTCCAATGGAACAAAAATCTATTTAGTGACTACTATATGTAACAATAAAGTTAGTGGAGGTTACAGAATTCCAGTTGAACTATTTAAAATCCTAAGATGATGCTGTCGAAGGGCTGTACTCAATATGCCAGCAAATTTGAAAACCTCACCAGTGGCCATTGGACTGGAAAAAATCAGTTTATGTCCTGATCATAAAGAAGGGCAGTGCTTAGCACAGCGCTTGGCACATATTAGGTGTTTAATAAATGTTTGTTGACTATTAACTATTATTGACAGTGAGTTGGTCATCAACATCACTTTTTTTCTGGAATGATTACATTATAGTGACTTTCTTCAAGTCTCCTCTTTCTATCATTGTTATTTTTGCTGCATGGGAGGAGGGAAGAGGACATTTTTGTTATTTGTGTGGGGAGGTAGGGGGAGCTGCACTCTCGGTTACCTCAAACTCTACCATCTTCTAAGGATTCACAGATCCCATGCAAAAATTTTTTTTCTGTGCCATCCCAATAATACTCCATGTGGGTGGTGGGGGCATTACTTAACATACTAGGGGAAGTCCTCTAAATCTCTTGATATCATCTGGGGACCAATGAAATTCTAGGTTTCCAAGACGCTATTCTCTCTTGATTCTCTGCCTACCTGACTCCTGCCTTTATGTCCTCTTTGATGGATCCTCTTCCAGATCATGCCCCCTAATTGTAGGTGTCCTTCAGATTGTTTCCTGGGCCCTCATCTCTTTTCCCTCCATACTACTTCACTTGGTGATCCCTTGGCTCCCATGGATTTAATTACCATCTTTATCCTGATGATTCTTAAATCTACCTATTTTGCCTCACTATCTCTCCAAAATGCTCTATTTGACACACAAAACCCTTCATATTCTAGCCTCTTCCTAACTTTTCCAGTCTTATTCCTTACTCCCAGACATGGGCTCTTTGATTCAGTGAGAGCCTCTTAGCTGTTCCATGAACAAGATACTATCTCACAGTTCTGGGAATTTTCTCTGGCTTTTTCCTATGCCTGGAATGCTCTTCCTCTTCTACTCTGTCTACTAACCTCCTTGGTTTTCTTTAAGTCCCAACTAAAATCTCACTTTCTATGGGAAGCCTTCTCCAACTCCTTTTTGTTCATTTCTTCCCTCTGTTAATTATTTCCTATTTATCTTGCATATAGCTTGCTTTGCATATATTTGCTTGTGTGTTGTCTCCCCATTTAGAGTGTAAGCTCCTTGAAGGCAGAGACTTTTGCCTCTCTTTATATCCTTAGCATTTAGCACAATGCCTGGTAGACAGCAGGCACTTAATAAATGTTGATTGATTGGCCATCCCTCCCTCCTGCTATTTGACTGATTCAGCCTCTTTTTTTAATACTATATGTTTCATGCTATAGGCAAAAATAGAAGGAATGGTATTATTGGAATATGCAATACAATACAGGCCACCTGGCCAGAAAATGAAAGAGATGAAGAGTTTGAGAAACTTATCACAAGCCTGATACACTATCATGATATAGTACTGAAGGGAACTTCATTTATCTGGACTTCTGCAGGAACTCTTTATCTAAAGCAGAGCAGCTAAAATTTTGTTGACTTTCATTATTATTTTGTTCTTTATAACATCCAGGAACCAACAAGGGGAATTTCAGCTCTGGACTTGATTCTTGACAATAAGGAATAAATGACTGCTGGGGTGGAAATGATGGGAACTTTCAGGGGAGTGACAACTCCATCTTATTTTTCATTATAGTGAAGGCCCGGAAAGTTGGGCATAGTCTAATGTCTTAATTCAGATTTTTAGAGAACAAATTTCAAGGGGTTCAAAGAACAGACAGAATCTTACTGTCAAAAATTCTATAGAAGTCATTCTAGGAAGGATGTGAAGCTCTCAGGATTGAAATTCCAAAGACACAAAAATAATCAATACTGATTGGGAGGAACAGGAAATTTTATGTGAATGCACCGGAAACTTACTAAACAATTTGGATTTTAAAAGATGCAGAATCTAGAAGTAAGGGAAGATAGAGGAGGGAAAATAGAAAAGAATGACACAGTCCCATAAGAATAATATCAGGAGTACAAAAAAATCAGTGTAAGATGAGACTGACGAGGAAAACTAAGGAAAACAAAAAGTTTTTATACCTATATTGAAAGAAAAGAGGATCAGAGAAGATATAAGATTGCTACTTAAATTAGATAAGGATTGCAATCCATAGAGTGAAAGTGGACCTACTCAACTCTTTATTTTGCTTCAATTTTGTTCGCCAAGGACAATTATCTTTGGAATAGAAAGGACAAAACAAAAATAACTAATAAGGAATTGGTATGCAAGAAAAGTCAACAGAAAATAAGCAAGTACCTAGCTACCCTCAAAGATAACTAAACCCAAGTGAATTGTACTCTAGGTGATTGAAAAAAACTGGCAAATATATTTTCTGAGCCAATTGAAAGACCATGGAGAATAGTAGACATGACTGAAGAAGGGCAAAATGTCTTGATTTTCAAAAATAAGAAGAGAAAGAAGATTGAAAATTATAGGCCACTGAAGCCCAACTCTCATTCTTGTCAACATTTAAGAATGTTTTATTAACCTGATGGTTGACAAATATCTAGAAAAGGAAATGATGATGGCCAAGAGTCAGCATGGCTCCATGAATAATGTGTCATGTCAGACTATACCAATTTCCCTTTTGTGACAGAATTACTAGACTGGTAGCTGGGAGTTGTAGATATGGTTTTCCTAGATTTTATCAAGCATTTTGACAAAGTCTTACATGATAATCTTATGGGAAAAAGCAGAGAGATGTGAACTAAAAGATAGTACAGTTAAATGGATTTGAAACTGGTTGAATGCCCAGATCCAGAGTAGTTATTAATGACCTTAAGAGACTTCAGCATGGACGAAGGTCTCCAGTGTAGTATCCCAGTAATCTCTTCTTGGCCTTATGCTGTTTAAATTTGCTCTCAATGACAGACAAAGGCATAGATAGCATGCTGATCCAATTTTCATGTTAAAAAAAGCTGAAAGAGACAGTTAACACACTAATTGACAGTCAGTATCCAAATCTAATAAAATAAAATTTAATAGGCATAATGTAAAGTCTTTTTCATGTCTAGGAACATCAACTTGACAAGTACAAGATGGGTGAGGCATGGCTAGATGGCAGTTTTTTTCTGAAAAAGATTTGAGATGTTTAGTGGACAGCAGACCCCAAAGTTAAAGCAATCCTTGGCTGCATTAAAAATGGCATATTATTTGCCAATGCAGGAGTAAAGGAGTAACAGTCTCGCTGGACTCTTAAGGAGTCACACAACATAAGGATTATATCCTATTCTAGGCAACACATTTGAGGAAAAATATCAATTACCTGGACAGTGTTAAGGGGAGGGCAATCACAATCAAATGGCCTTGATCATGTCATTGAAGATCAGTTGAAGGACATGGAAACATTTGGCACGATGAAGAGAAGACTTCAGGGCAACATGAAAATTATCTTTAAGTATTTGAAAGACTATTACATGAAAGAATCAGATTTGTTATGCTTAGCCTCAGAGGGCAGAAGTAGGATCACTGGGTAGAAATTTTAAAGAATTTAGGCATGATATAAGGGGGGAAAACACTTCCTAAGAGTTAGAGCTATGCCCATAGGAGAAAGGGCTGGATCAGGAGCTACTGGGTTCTACCCCACTCCCATTGTATATCTTCAATCAAAAGAAAGATGACAAATTATTGGGTATGCCATGGAGGGAATTCTCATTCATGTACAGATTATCTCTTTTATGTCATTCTGTGCTTCTATAATTCTTCTTCACAATTCATCACTGGTTTTATGTTGTGGTATAGGTGATGCAGTGGATAGAGTGTTAACCTGGAGTCAGGAAGACCTGAGTTCAAATCTGGCCTCAGACACTTACTGGCTGTGCGACCTTGGACAAATCACTCAACTCTGTTTGTTTCAATTTCCTCAGCTGGAAAATGATCTGAAGAAGGAAATGGCAATATCTACAATATCTTTGCCAAGAAAATTCAAATGGGGTCATGAAGAGTCAGATATGATTGAAATGATTGAACAACAACAATATATACATGGCTACCAGACATTTCTATATTGCCCCTTTCCATCCTGTGTGGCAGGTATCTCTCTCAGCTTTGTTTCCTTTCAAAATTTCATAATTGTTGGTTAACTAACAGTTTTAATTCTATGTGGATTGTAATATTAATTTTTTGTTACTATAGAGCATCATTGGAGGACACTTGAATTTTTAAAATGAGCATTTTTTATTCTTTATTTTTTAGTTTTTAATATTCACTTTTATAAGATTCTGAGTTCCAAATTTTTTCCCCTCCCCAAGATGGCAAACAATCTAATGTGGGCTATGCATATTCAATCATATTAAACATATTTCTGTGTTAGTCATGTTATGAAATAAGAATCAGAACAAAAGGGAAAAAAATACAAGAGAAAAAAAACAAAAAAAAAAGTGAAAATAGTTTGCTTTAATATGCATTCAGACTTCATGGTCCTTTCTTTACATGTGGACAGCATTTTCCATCATGGCAGAATTTTGGAATTATCTTAGATCATTATATTGCCGTGAAGAGCCAAGTCTGTCAAAGCTGATCATCACACAATGTTGCTGTTATTGTGTACAATGTTCTCCTGGTTCTGCTCACTTCACTCAGCATCAGTTCATGTAAGTCTTTCCAGGTTTTTCTGAAGTCTGCCTGCTCATCTTTTCTTATAGCACAATAGTATTCTATT